AGACAAAATAGGAAGAGAAAAATATAAAACAATAAAAGAAAATTAATAYACGAGGGGCTATCATACTAACAAATTTAACAATAATATTGATAACCATAGATGAAAGTTTCAAAATCCGGCAATACAAAAATCGTGCAAAGAGCTGTATAATAAATTAGAACGAAAGGGATTTTCGGTTTAGAGTATTCGAATATAAATTAAAATAAAATATTGCGTATAAGAGATAAAGACATTTCGACGGATCGATCTGGAATTTTTGTTACCTAGAAGAAACATTCCAAATAAAGTACATGAAAATTAATAATGAGGGCAAGAAAATTATATAACCAACTACAAAAGTTTCAAAAGAAAGATCAGATTATTGAACCGAAATTGGGAAATTTCAAAACTAGAATGAAACAGCCCTAGCTACCTAGGGTAAAGAAAATAGGGCGTGCGACATTGTTGCGCGCATAGTGGGGGGAGAAATTTGCTGAAACGCGCGACAAAATAGGGAAGAAAATTTTGTTCGTGTGTTGTGAGAAAATATTACCGGGATGAAAGTGCTTTGTGTGACAATGGCAGCACCAAATTCTGCCACAAGATCCGCAATTGTCCTCCACACCTGCAGGTCTGCTCTGGGAGCAGCAAGATCCTGCAACCACCAGCTGAGATCGTAGTTGTTGGTCCGGATTCTGATGGTGGTTGAAAAGTCAACCTCTTTCGACTTGACTTTGCTGTCTTGAAGAACATGTGTACCTGCTCCTTGAGAATCTTCAGTCTTCCTTCAATGTACTCAGCCTTCAAGCACTGTGCACCCAAAGAATTAGGTCTATCTGTGGGAATGGCCTCAGTGAGAGTCGCCGGATGACAGATGCAAATTATTTTTCCAATGATAGAAGGGCACATAAAACCAAAAGTACATCAGACTCTTTGACTTATAACAACCTTAATGACTGGATACTACTATAACAGTTCCTTTAACAAAAAGAAGAAGCACTATTCTAATTGCCCAAATATTGAGCTTATTTCAGTAGTAAAGGTGTTAGGGTACAATCATTCAGGGACAGAGGAAGTAACTGATACATACTATGAAGTACTTCTAGTACTACAGTTGTGCGTAGTCTTTGCACGCATATGTTATTCAAATAGGTATTTTTTCTGACCACATTTTTCTCTGCAGTATCGTACCGGTAGTAGTACTGTACTTTGGTACATGTGAGCCTAAATCATGAGTAGATAGTGAATAAGCTCGCTCTTTATTGCAAACACAGAGCACACATACATTTTGCAGKTTATGAGCAACAACAACAGACTTACCTCCCATGCTCATCAGCCAATACTCCACAAAGACAGTCATTGAGTAGTAGCCTGATTTAGTACTCCTTGTTGTACTGTAGTACGGTACTTTAGGTAAGTTCATGGATGCACCTTCTTGTTGGGATGAATTTTGCTATGGTCCAAAGGTGAAAAGTCCGTTGTTGCTCATAACCTGTGGTTTTGATCTACAATGCAATAAAGTATTAGGTTATTGGTTATTCACCATCTATTTGGGGAAGCACAATCCCCACAGTGCCAAACTCAACAGCATAGACACAGTAAGTCTGAAATACCGAGAAGACAATCAATGAATCATGAATCCATTTTAATATTATGATCATGTATGTACCCCTGGTGAAACGGGGAGTAGAGATGCTACCCACCACCACCATTACTAGTAGTACCTTACTTTCTGATCTTTGCTCACATTCTACTACTAGTAGATGAGTTGTAGCTACCTTTCGTCGTCCATCTAGTAGTAACTAAATCGTGAATGCCATGGTGCTCGCCACGCTCAAAAGAAGTAGTAGCACTAGTAGTTCAAGTCAGACTTTCTTGGCTATTAGCAGCATAGATTTTTGGAGGATACATCTGTTCCAGAAAGTCTCCAGTGGTAATGGCTGAGAAGATTTCGAATTGCGAATGCCTTTTTGTCCAGTTTTTTAGCATCGCCAACCAGATACACGTGGCCTCCTCCATCATCGAACACAATTTTGATCGACAGCTTTTTCTCCATGTCTCTCAGGTCGCACAATCCCCTTCCTTGAGGATCTTCTTCGGGTATCGATGCCAACAAATCGGTCGCCTGCATGTTCCCTAAATCTTCTACCCGGATCTTTTTCATCGTCGATCGGATTTTGTTCTCGACGACTCCACTCAACCCACCGTCGTCATCTTCGACTCTTGTTACTCTCAGGAACACTCCAGACGAAGAAGAATTGTCTATTATGCTGCAATCGGGAAACTTTCGCAGAAGGCCGGATTGCTGGTACGCTTTCCACCACTGTATTAGTGCACCCGCTTGTGTGGGTACATCTTTCGAGCCATTCGGAAGAAACGTCGTAAAATCAATGTCCAAAAAGGTGGTAGCCTCCGCCATAATTAAATTTGTGCCGCATCTACTCTCTATACACTTTCAAGAACCCCCTGAAGCACAACAATGTCTACCGCCTGCCATAAAAGTTTACTTTGTGAGGCCAAATCACGAATAACTAGGTGCAATACCGATGTTGTCTCGTTTACAGTTTTGATCTTAAATTACTAGTAGTACTGTAATACTTTTAGGCGAGATCAGAAGTGCAAAATCCTCGATCGATCCGTGGTCGCGCGCGCTCAAGATCTATCAAATCTAACTGCCTTCGGCACGGTACGGTAGAGTAAAGGACATGGTACTTGGTACTATGTACCTGTACTACTATGTACAGCACTCGGTCACTCACCGATCACCCTCCATTCTTTCCATATCCACATCATAATTTCTGCCATCCACCGAACAAATAGGTGAATACCGCATATCCACCCCGCTACAATCGCATTCCATGCTCACTGCACCGCGGAAGATTGAAACTGCATTTCGACCGATCGCAATTCCCGATTTGAGGTTTCTTTGTTGNACTCCTTGTTGTACTGTAGTACGGTACTTTAGGTAAGTTCATGGATGCACCTTCTTGTTGGGATGAATTTTGCTATGGTCCAAAGGTGAAAAGTCCGTTGTTGCTCATAACCTGTGGTTTTGATCTACAATGCAATAAAGTATTAGGTTATTGGTTATTCACCATCTATTTGGGGAAGCACAATCCCCACAGTGCCAAACTCAACAGCATAGACACAGTAAGTCTGAAATACCGAGAAGACAATCAATGAATCATGAATCCATTTTAATATTATGATCATGTATGTACCCCTGGTGAAACGGGGAGTAGAGATGCTACCCACCACCACCATTACTAGTAGTACCTTACTTTCTGATCTTTGCTCACATTCTACTACTAGTAGATGAGTTGTAGCTACCTTTCGTCGTCCATCTAGTAGTAACTAAATCGTGAATGCCATGGTGCTCGCCACGCTCAAAAGAAGTAGTAGCACTAGTAGTTCAAGTCAGACTTTCTTGGCTATTAGCAGCATAGATTTTTGGAGGATACATCTGTTCCAGAAAGTCTCCAGTGGTAATGGCTGAGAAGATTTCGAATTGCGAATGCCTTTTTGTCCAGTTTTTTAGCATCGCCAACCAGATACACGTGGCCTCCTCYATCATCGAAYACAATTTTGATCGACAGYTTTTTCTCCATGTCTCTCAGGTCGCACAATCCCCTTCCTTGAGGATCTTCTTCGGGTATCGATGCCAACAAATCGGTCGCCTGCATGTTCCCTAAATCTTCTACCCGGATCTTTTTCATCGTCGATCGAATTTTGTTCTCGACGACTCCACTCAACCCACCGTCGTCATCTTCGACTCCCGTTGTTACTCTCAGGAACACTCCAGACGAAGAAGAATTCTCTATTATGCTGCAATCGGGAAACTTTCGCAGAAGGCCGGATTGCTGGTACGCTTTCCACCACTGTATTAGTGCACCCGCTTGTGTGGGTACATCTTTCGAGCCATTCGGAAGAAACGTCGTAAAATCAATGTCCAAAAAGGTGGTAGCCTCCGCCATAATTAAATTTGTGCCGCATCTACTCTCTATACACTTTCAAGAACCCCCTGAAGCACAACAATGTCTACCGCCTGCCATAA